CCCCCCCTTTCTCTGCCTGCACCTGGGGCTGTGATTGCCTAAGCAGATGGAAGAGAGAAGAGAGAGACGACGACCCAAACGGTCTTGCGCACCATCACTTCCTCTTTCCTTGGCAGGCGAACAGCAGCCGAGGGAATACCTGCAGATTACGCTACGAACGACTCGAGCAGCGACGTTCCCCCGGGAGATTATTCAGCCCGAGGCGAGTCCGTCCAATCTGCACGCGAACGGAAACACCTCTCGTCGTTTTCTTTGGCTCGCAGAACCGGACGTGTTGAGCATACTTGGACGGTAAAGCGAGTAAACATCACTTCCTTCGTGAAAAGTTAAGTGATCTGACGATAATTAGTGCCTCCTCTCAGTCTGCTCTGCTAAATAACCTTTGACCCCGAGCTGGCAGCCCCCCCCTCAGACCATCGGGTCTGGACATAAAAGGTGGGCAGCTCTGTTCCCATGCTCTCTGTCCAAAAGGGGCGGGGCTTAAAACAAACTTCTCTCCCCAGATGAAGCCAAACTCCTGCTGGCCCAACTGCTGCGGCCCACCCCATCCCGAAGCCTTGTGCATCCGGACCCCCCACCCCCACCCCCCCACTCACTCACGGCTGTTTATCCTCAGCTGGCCTGGGGTGAACTGAGGTTATCTAACTCCGGCGCTGAGTCAAGATTTTTTTTCTTCTCTAAACGTTCCTCCAGGAAGTTAAATCCATCACTGTCCTGGAGTCGATTCATTGATTAATTAACTCCTGTTCACAGAAACTCAACGGGTTTTTTTTACACTCGGTTTTGACAAGACAGGAAGTTCATAAAAATGGCTATCGTGTGTGTTTTCTTTTTTCTGTTAGCAAAATATCTCATGAACCACTGAACAGATGTTGTTAGAAAATGTACATCTGGCTACCGAGCGTCATCCCCATCATAAACTCATGTCTGGGGCGGAGCTACACGCTTTTTACAAGGAGTGCCACTGGGTTTGTTTTGTTTTTTTAGGGGGGACAAACACAGAAAATGACCATTTATTTGAAAATTCAAAATGGCCGCCACAGCTAATTCCAAATGATCAAAAAAACGTGTTTCATCTTATTATTTCTTTCATTTTTAGACATATAAAGCTGAAGATTAGTGTAGAAGTAGCTGAAAATATATTCATCAAATTATGCTAATCAAAAATTCAAGATGGCCGCCACAGCTAACTTTAAAAGGCTATAATTCAGCCATTTTAACACTTGTTAAATTTGTTGTGCAGTAGCTAAAAATGATCACATCCTGATTTCCAATGCTAATGCTAATCTCAAAATAAGCTAATAACTATTTTTACTTTTACAAGGGCTATAATTCAGCCATTTTAACACTTGTTAAATTTGTTGTGCAGTAGCTAAAAATGATCACATCCTGATTTCCAATGCTAATGCTAATCTCAAAATAAGCTAATAACTATTTTTACTTTTACAAGGGCTATAATTCAGCCATTTTAAACATGTAAAGCTGAATATAAGTGTAGAACTAGCTAAAAACAATCAAAATCTAAGCTAATTAATGATCCAAGATGGCCACCACATCTAACTTTAAAAGGCTAAAATTCAACCATTTAAAGACTTGTTATAAAATTTGTTGTGTTAGCTAATCCCAAAATAAGCTAACTACTAATGCTCATTTTATAAAGTGCTATAATTCAGCCATTTTTTAAACATGCACAGCTGAAAGTAAATATAGTTTGGTAGTACCAGAAAACAGTCTTCAACAAAATCTAAATTTAAATACAAAATCAAAGATCCCCACTCACATGGAGGTGGCCAATCAGGCTCCAGAGGTGGCACTTGCCACCCCGACCCCCCTCTGGCTCCACCCCTGTGTTGTTTTTACCAGTTTAAGCTGAAAGTTGGGAAATGATTTGATTAAAAGTCATTGCCGGTGCTAAACCCAAAATAAGGTAACCATTAATACTAATGCTGTTGCTAATTTTACCCAGGGCTAAAATGTAGTCATTTCTAAATGTGTAAATTACACAGATTTCCCACTATTTCCAGTAAACAGACAATCTCATGGATCTCAGCTTCCACTTTATTTTATGTCTCAGGTTAACTGCCTGAACGACGTTAAAAAAAAGATGTTTTCGGGGGTTCGTCGGCCACATGTGCAGGCACCTACGAATTGGGACAGCCTACGGCGCAGGGTAGTGACATCACTACCCTACGGCGCAGGATAGTGATGTCACCTGCATGAATTGAGACAGTTACTAAATAAATTTACCAACCCCTTCCTCCATGACTCCTCCCATCTCCCTACATGTGAGCAGCCGAAAACAGATTTTTTTTTGTGAAAAATACGAATTTTTGAGTGTCAAAATACAGGTAAACACCTGAAGTGGTTGATGTGTAAAAAGTGTATAAATAACAGGGGGGAAAAAACAGGAAGTGTATACGAGAACCCTGAAGTCCACCTGAGGCTTCGGTCTCCTCAGGTAACAACGTGGGACAAATCTTTCCTCCCAGCAGCTCGTTTCTGTCACCTTCACGTGTTTTTCAGCAGCGCTGACTCAGCGAGAGAGCTGCACTCTCATTCCTGTCCACGCCTACGTGCAGCAGGGTCCTCCTCGCTCCGGTCCGTTCGGCCCACAGCCAAGTCTCAACCCCATGCATGGAGAGCTGCTGGTCTTTGGTTCTGATCCAACTGCCCCCTCCTTCTCCTGTTTGATAATAATCTCGGTTTTGAGTTTTCAGAAACACACGCGGCGTAAAAATTGCAACTGTACTGCCAGAACAGCTTTCTCTTTGTTTCCAAACAGCTTATTACCAGCAGAAAGACTTTTCCCTCGTTTTTTTCCACCTCCCACCTTCTTACTAAGTCATCCCATCGCTTTTTTTATTTATTTTTTATTTATTTAATGGATTTCAGGCAATTACAGCGAGGCTGAACATGGAGGAGGAGAACTCACGGCGAGATGCAGTTTGTGTGGAGAATTTTAACAAGGTGTGGAAGCCCTGCATAAACACATTACTACCTCTGACAAGCTTTCTGTTTCACACACACACACACACACACACACACACACACACACACACTGGGTCCAGGTGGGTAACTGGGTCCAGATGACCATCTTTCATAATAGATGTGCACAGCTGACTGACTGGCTGGCTCCCTGAGGCCTGACTACCTGGGAGACACTATCTGAAAGAATGTCAGGAATCCCTGTCCTCCCCGGAGCGCCGAGCCTGGAAGTTAGTTTTTTTTTTTTTTAAGCCTGGGCAGGAAGATTAAAGAAGAAAAAAAATAGCAGAGATTTGGGTGAGGGCTAGATGTAACGTGTTGTTGTTGTTGCTAACAGCTGCCTCCACCCCATCCCTAAAGATTTTACACTTTTAGTCCCGCCCTAATAATAATCGCTGAGTGGATTATTTCACTCAGGGATCAGGCTTTGTTTGGCCATCAGTCAGTTCAGGAACTGTTTATTACCTGACAGCTTAAAGCAAAGCTCGTAATTTTCTAAACCTCTTAGTTTGGGACTTTTTAAGCTTTTTATAAAAGTTAATTGTTTAATCTTCCAGCTATGTTCTTAACTAAAGCGGTGAATTCCCCTGTCTCGACTCAAGTAAGGGTCTCTGCAGGACGTAGGCGGAGTTTCTTGTCTTTGTGGGTGGAGTTTATCTTAACCGTGATTGGTGAAGTTCTTAAGTGTGGGTGGAGTTTATCCTAACCGTAATTGTTTGAGTTCTTTGGTGTGGGCGGAGTTTATCCTAACCGTAATTGTTCGAGTTCTTTGGTGTGGGTGGAGTTTTTCCTAACCGTAATTGATGAAGTTCTTTAATGTGGGCGGAGTTTATCCTAACCGTAATTGATGAAGTTCTGTAGCGTGGGTGGAGTTTATCCTAACAGTAACTGATGAAGTTCTTTARTGTGGGTGGAGTTTGTCCTTTCAGTGATTGATGAAGTTCTTTAGTATGGGCGGAGTTTATCCTAACCATGATTGATGAAGTTCTTTAGTGTGGGCGGAGTTTATCCTAACCATGATTGATGAAGTTCTTTAGTGTGGGCGGAGTTTATCTTAACCATGATTGATGAAGTTCTTTAGTGTGGGCGGAGTTTATCCTAACCATGATTGATGAAGTTCTTTAGTGTGGGCGGAGTTTATCCTAACCGTAATTGATGAAGTTCTTTAGTGTGGGCGGAGTTTATCTTAACCATGATTGATGAAGTTCTTTAGTGTGGGCGGAGTTTATCCTAACCGTAATTGTTCGAGTTCTTTGGTGTGGGCGGAGTTTTTCCTAAAAAATGATTTAGTATCATAACCTGTCTCTTTAAGAACCTCCTACCGTTTCTGACACTCCCACTTCAGCCTGTCTTCACAATGCTTTGGGGGAGGAGTTCTCTGTGGGGTGTGAGCTCGGCTGCAGGCTGAGCTCAGGGAGGAGCTATATACAAATGGGCAGAGCTCTATACAAATAGGCGGAGCTTTGTACCAGCAAACATTTAGGCAGCTCCTCGTGGCTACCACGGGAGATTCCAGGATTTCTCAAACATGCGTGAAGGAGTCACAGCAACACTCCAGGAGCTAGACGTCCCTCCAGCTGCCCAGCTTCTTCAAACCCCACCCTAAATAGTCAATCCGACCAATCACGTCAAACAAACTCCTCCCACAAAACAAGAGGCTCCTCCTCCTCCCTGGACCCGTAACCTATGTTGCTTTCTCTCATACTCACATAACTGCTCTCCATCTGCCCCAGTGTCCTCCGATCGCTCTGTATCGTCCTCATCGTCCCCCGATGAGATGGCATCTGCACAGAGTAACCATGGTTACAGCTACCCTCTCTCAGACGTCGCACACTCACACAGCGAAGCAGCGGTTCCCAGTCTTTTCACCGTATGACCTTCAACATAACGGTGGCAGAGAGTCGTGACTAAATGTGGACTGAGTGCCAGTTTTAAGATGACCACGGAGTCAAAACTAAAAAAATAAAACTTTCTTTGTTCGACTCATGTCTCCTGTGTGAATTCCTCTTAACTTTAATTCTTCTTCCTAAAAGACATCAGAGGTTTGGTTGGTGATTAACTCGGCTGGTTTTAGCTTCTCTGCTGGAGAAGAAACGCTTCTTTCTCTTTTAAGGAAACGCTGTTTTGATGCAAACGTTTGCAAGAGTTAGCATCTCTCTGCAGACCCGTTAAAGAGGCTAATTAGTGACATCATCATCTCATCAGGGTCTGAAGGTTGTTTTACACTGAGTACAACAAAACAGGTATAATACTTTATAATTATAAACAAAAAATCTGTTTTAGCTGACAATATAATGAATAAGCATTAAAGTGCCTGTGACATGCATCTCACTCAAATATAAAAAGTCAAAGAAAGCATCTTTATATTTAAGAAACTTGGCATAATACACAAGATTTTACCTATTTTGACACATAACGGACAGATTTTCTTCCGAATTTGGCTCAGTCAAAGTGGAACAGGAAGTGACATAAAAGGGGAACTTTTTAAGAAATGAAACTCCGTTTTTTATTGTTACATTAATTGAACTGTGACTCTTCTTCAGTGACTCAAAATAATCTAAAGAAACAAGATTCTTTACAGTCTGTGTTGTTAGCCTTGTAGCAACGCTCTGTTTACATGCAGACATTCCCCTTTGACGTCACTTCCTGTTACTTCACATGCAAATATATTRAAAGCTGTTCATCTCAACAGAGTAAAATTAATTTTGTGTTATGTTATCAGTGTTGTCTTTCCAAAAAGGCATTCATATTTACTGAAAAAAATGATGTCACAGGCACTTTAAAATTAAATTAAAATTTGTGTACTTTTGATCAGGTCTATCATACGACTCATGGCTCAAGTCTAGTCTACTATTACTAGAAAGCTAATAAAAACTATGGGCTGTCGTTTGTAAAGTTACACAGTCAAAAATTACCACCAATATTTTTGTTTTATTTAGTCTTTTATAAGAAAAAAAAC